TAAAAAAAAAAAAAAAAAGCAAAGAGGACAAACATAAAAATAAAAAGTGTTTCTTCCTTAAAGTTTCTTTTATGGATTAATTTAATTATATTATCTAAGAAAAGGCACTTTGATTGAATGACGCAATAGTATCCCCAGTTAGACAGAGTTTCAATAGTGAATCAATTCTACTTGCCAGTGGATTAATGTTAAACCCGTGGTGTGATATCAGCCAGCTCAAGAGGCTGCCTGCACAAACAGTGTAGTTTACTCTTACACTTCTATCTCTATCTGCCAGATTTTAGGCTATATTTACTCCACATCCCACACGTTATACACTATATTAATACAGGACCATGCACATATAGGGGCAAGTCATGTTTTGCAGCTGTGGAATAAACAGAGGATAAAGAAAAGGCAGACAAAAAAAATTACGTAGGGCAACACGACAGAGACTTTGAAATGTGAACGAGACTGTGAAATGTGACAGAGGTTGGCATTTGATCTGTTACGTAATCCTTCTCTCGTGTATCTGTTCAATGCTGTAGGTCAAACGTCTACTACCTGTATTGACTATCGTATATTCTGTAGCGAGAAAGAGAGAAAGAGGAAGCTAGCATATGGGTGATCAGGATGCATCAACTGCCTGGTTTACGTGCTCAAATATTGTGCAGTGCTATGTACGATCAACAAGGAAGGAGCTACTTTCAGATTGATATTGTAAGTATCTTTTCATAATTTTTTTTATTTTACTTTTGGGAAATAATTTGGAAATAAATATCACCATGCCAGTTGGCAGTATTAAGAGTAGCATCAGGTGCACCCAAAGGCCTAAATATATGTATTATGCATGGGTTTCCTTTCAAGGAATGACGTAACAGTAAACCAATTTTTATATTTCTTAAATATGTAATACATGATACTGCACTGCATTAACAACAAAAAAGAAATACCCCAAATCACGCTTAAGCCAGACATGCATGCCTGGCTATTTTCATTTACTACCATGTTGTAATGTTAAAGTTGTAACTATATAAATAATTTTAGGACTCTAGCCATAGAAGTTTCCTTAGAATGTTTCGATAGCAAGTGATATATATAGAAACTTGAATATAATTATGTCTGTCAATAGCCTACATACAGTGCTTATCAATATTTGTTGCCATTTATTTACCCTTGCCATGTAAAATTGATATTTTATCTTTTCAGAGAGATGTGAAAGCCATATGGAGGCAGGGCAAATCACAAGAGACCATATGGAATCAATAATATAGCAAGAGATATACAAATTATGAGGAGCTTGTCTCCATGGTTTATTGCTATTACATTCTACACAGAGCTCAATATTTGGAAAAAAAGGAGAAATCACATGGTTTAAACTGCAGAGTTAACTGATATCTAAAGATTCCATATACATAGTTATTAATTTAGTCACTATTTGAAAATGGCCTAAGCAAGCATGATGGTAATCAATGGAAAAGGTCAGAATATTTCAGGATTATAATAGCATTTGCAAAACGTTTCAAAATACAAGTTTTTTCTGAAAGTTCAATAATTTAAAAATAAGGACTAGTATTAGTTTCTGAACAGTTTCAAAACAAATAAAAAATGGCCGCTTGCAGTGAGCTCATCATCCCAGACAATCTCCTGACTTGTAGCATCTGTTTGGAAGAGTACAGGCATCCACAGATACTTCCCTGTCAGCATATATTTTGCCTAGTTTGCATAAATACCCATGGCCAAAATTCTAAGCCTGACCTCAACATGACTTGTCCATTGTGCAGGACAAGGGTTAGTTTTGGTGATATTCGACCACTCTGGAAAAATATAGCCTTCCCAAGAAAATGTGAGTCTTTGACGGTGAAACTACTTCAAAATGACCAACAAGGAATAAAAAATCACGGAGATTATGATTGTAGCAATAGATCTTTCCACTGCCTTTCAATGGAGCTTCCTATATTCAAAGAGAAATCAGTCCTTCTTCATTCCTTTATTGCCAAACTAACAGATGACACCAAGAAATGCTGTTTGACTGGGATGGACGCAAATGAACAATACTTATATATTGTTGATACAAAACTAGATTCCAGTACCGGAAACCAGAAAATCAAAATATTTTCACCACAAGGTCACTTGAGGTCAAGTTTTGCACTTGATGACCCCACAGATGTTGCTATATTGCAAGACGGAAATGCATGTGTGGTTAACTATAGCCAAAAGATCATCCACAATATCAACACGACTAAGCAACAGAATGTTACTAGATTTGGCCAGCAGAAATTCCAGGTGCCTTATTCTGTGACAAGAAACCGACAGGGAAATATCATGGTATGTGACAGAAAGAGAAGAAGCATTTTCATTTTCAATCCACACAATGGGACATTTCTGAGCAGAATCTCCCTGCCAATGTGCTCTACTCCAGTTTATTGCTCGTCAAGCCCAATCAATGATGACATCCTGGTTTCCGACTACTCATGCCACTGTGTGTACCTCCTGACACCTAGTGGCCAAAATATTTTCCAATATGGCATCCCGGGTCACCCTGGAGCAGACGATGGCCAACTTAACAGCCCCTGTGGTGTCTGCTTTGACAATTTTGGAAACATTTTCATTGCAGATACCTGGAACCACAGGGTAGTAATGGTGAGCCCACGTGGGACACTCGTTAAGTACATAGCTTCTGAGGAAGATGGCATAACTTTGCCAAGGACTGTGGTAGTATTGGCAGAAACAGGGAAACTAGCAATGGCTGAGCAAGATGGAAACATAAAGATTTATCAGTATTTGGAATAGCAAGCAAAGCAAAACTAATGAATACACATTTATAGGTATGCTCAACAGTTGTCAGAGCAGATGAGGTATAAAATATTTTGATCAGAAGTAAAGTTATGTTTTTGTTTTCCAACATCACACAGGCAGCAGAACAAGGTGTGAAACAAACCCAACTTGAAGGCTATCAGTTTTAATAAAAAATATGGACTAGATAAACATAAGACACAAAATTGATTAATTCAGAAATATTTTTTAGATTATATCACTAGAAGTCCCTTTGATGGCATCTGTTGATGCAGTAATTATCTCAGATGCATCTATTAACTGCATTTGTTATTTGTTTGAGAAGGACCATGGCACCAGTGGTTGAAAGCTCATTAACTTACTTTGACGCCATCCAAAGAAAAATTCAATTATATAAGTCAATTTCATTTTTATACTGGATATGATAACTTCATCACAGGGGTAAAGAACGTTTTTTTTTACTTACCCTGAAGATAAGATCTTAGAGAAGGAGTCAAAGCGCAGAACCCTTCCATCTACATCCATTGAAAGAAAGCTTGGAGCGGGAGACTGCAAATATATAAATTATATGTACTTAAAACTGTGAATACTTCTGTCATTTCTGTGCTCTATAAAAAATGAATAAAATGGTTTTTTGATCCCTTATGGACTTTGGATTTATCCAGGCAGTGCACTACACAAATGGTGAACTACCGCTGTGTGGCTGGACTGAACCTGAATGACATGTGCACTTGTACAGGAAAAACACAGGAGTATGCTCCTACAGGAATCACAAACAATTTTATAAAATGGTCAAATAAGTTGATATCAACATGATACCTGATATGATACCAGATAGCAATAATCTCTTCATTCTACTATACAAAAAGATATGAATAACATTTTGCCTTAAACTGAACATAAAGTCATGTAGGGCAAAGAATGCTACTCGATTGTTTGACTTTACACTGAAGTATCATACATACCCCTCAGTTGAAATTTATTTTAAAATATGCAGTGATTACTTTTTGGTATCAATACTTACATCAGTGTACTGTAGAAAATAATAAGGGTCATCTTCCATAATAAGCAAATCATATTCTTGAGCTATCTAAAATTGAGAAAATAAAAAAAAAAACATAGTTCACTCTGAGCAGAAAGAAAAAAGTGAGTTTATTTCACAGAAATAATGTTCTATACAATTACAGTCATATCTTGAACTGTTATAATAAATAACTTTCTGGAAAAATATGGTTAAATCAGTACAGCCAACCCAAGTATGCAATTTAAATCAAATAACAAATCTGAACATTAAATTTCATAGCTAAATCAAGTTCACTTCAAAAATTCTTTTAAAATTTCTTTTATATTCTT